ATCTGAAGTATTCTACGAGTGACATGCCAGAAGATTCGCAAATGAGGGCCCCTTCTATTGTTGTGTTATCTAAAAGATATACTAATGATAATGTTGATGTCTGGCATTGTCCTCCAACGAAGGCCATTCTGATTCTGACACGGACTAAGTCTGTTGGTTAGATGCAATGTCCCTAAAAATGAGAGAATGGTTTGATGTTAATGTAACCACTGTCATGATTAATGAAATTTTTTATTAATTTTATTTATGAAACCACTCAAAGTTTTATTTACTTACTACATTTCCCTTATCATCCACTATTACATCTTGAGTCACATCCCTATTTTTTACACTGATGATTACATTTCGTAAAACATTAGAAAATTCTGCTGGATCCATAACAACTGATCCTCTACGATCAACTTCCTCTTTGCTAACACTAACCTCTGAAATCGACGGACTAGGATCAACATCACTAGATTCGTCACCACCTCTGCGTACATCAATCTCTGACAAACTCAGACGACCTCTGCGTTCATGAATGACTGAACCACTTTCCCTAAAACCTCCTAACAACAAATCTCTTCGCCTCTCCGGTAAACCAATAGACTTAGTCCGTGTCAGAATCGGAATGGCCTTCGTTGGAGGACAATGCCAGACATCAATATTATCATTAGTATATTTTTTAGGTAACACAACAATAGAGGGGGCCCTCATTTGCGAATCTTCTGGCATGTCACTCGTAGAATACTTCAGATACCCCTTCATTTTGCAATACGTAACCCCCCTTTTAATATTGGAATTTTCAAGTCGATACTTCACCATCTATGGCACCTGTTTGTCGTTGATTGAACAATAACCATTCCCATAATAGGCTAACTCGCATTGACAATCTACTGGGAAAATAAACCATGCTTGCAAACTGTCATTACCGTCTAACCTCCGATCGTAAACATTTACTCTGACCAACCCACTAGCATTGGGTGCGCAAAGGGGGGAATATTTTATCAATATTTTATCAACCTTAATACTTTTTTGTTTGTATCTTAACCTCAATTGAGAAAATAAATTAGGCAACGCAAGTTCAATACAACTGAAATCACTTGCCGAAACACCTTCAACAACCCCAGTTTTTATATCGTCCACCTCCATTAACCTGAACATTAGAAATAAAAATACATCAAATTACAATTCTAAACAGTTTTAAAGTACATCTGACTCCTTAAAGTAATTTTGCATTCCTTTCCACTAACAGTAGCAGCCACTAAATATATGGCACCCTTTTGAATGCTTCCAACATTTCCCAACAGCGTATCTTTGTAGTCCGTCCAAACATCAACTGGGAAGAACCGGTCTACAACTTCTATCCCGTGACGAACGTACTCTTTGTCCTTGCCACCAACGAGCTTGAATCTCATTTTCTTTAGCATCCGAAAACGGTCGGACTGGTCAGGATCAACAATCCAGGTCTCAGGATTACCCTCGCCAACTCCAATAAATATCTTGTCAGGTGTAGGAACGGAATCTGACGGACTATTATCACTGATGACAAAAAACAACACGTGGTGGACCACAGCTTCGTCCTTAGCATCCTGTCCCAATTGGACATTACCAATGAATTTGATACCCTTAACCACGATCTTGTCTGATTGACGGTCAGATCTCTTATTACCCAACTCAATACCATTAAGTAATCTCGCCACGCCTTTATTATCAAACTTAACGTCCCTTAATTATTCATCGTATAGCTGTAATTTCCTTACTCAGCATGACAAGAAACGAAAAGTATTATGATACAATTTTTATATAAATTGTTTTTTTATCAAAAGACAAGTGTCTCATCTTCTATTTCATCACCCTCCATTACACCTCTAATGAGATGATAAACAATGACAATCAATCAATTTTTTTTAAAGTGTGAGACCACTTTACATAAAAGTGAGCCATATTATTAAATATAAAATTAGAGAAATGTAATATCTCTTATCAAAATATTGTGACCATAACATTGTTATAGTGAAGTGGATTGTTTTTAGCTGATCGTTAGGCCCCGTGGGGCTATCATGTGATTGTTTGACAACGCTACTATATTTAGTTTCACAACAATGAATGATGCATTTTAAAATTATACTTGTTAATTGAGAGGGTAATTTGTGAGCAAATTGGGCCGAGCTAGGACGAGTCTTCTTTGGAAGTTGGGCCGCACAATAGGCCAAGGAGATATTTTGTATTTCGGCTTTGGGCTGAGGTAGGTACCAGGACGGTTGGATGTGTTGCTGGGATTGGGACATATTTACCTTCTGACCGGGATGATGGCAGGGCGATAGGCCGAGCTAGGTGTAGCTCGGCAGGAGACCAACCTGTAGCATGGTAATCACAGCTCGCCCATGTTGAGCACGGAGCGGAGGTAACATCAATGGCGATAGTTGAGCTGTGTATAGCTCGGCAGGGTGGCATTCGATAGATCGACTTTTGATCACACGGTCCGAATGGCAGGGGACCGAGATAAGCAGTTCGGTCAGGAATATATAACCGAGGTAAAGGGTTCAACCATCTCACTTAGCTTGCAGTGATGAGACTCCTAGAAGGGCTCTGCTAAGGAGAGTAGAGTCTTACTGGGATTGTGCAAACCATCTCACTTGGTTGGTAGTGAGTAGGGTGTGTGATTCCTAGGAGGACTCTCATAGGGAGAGTTGGAATCCTACTAGGATTGTGCCAAGCAGAGTCTATAAAAGCTTATGACCAGACCTTTGTACAGGTATCACAATCTCAATTCTTACTCTAGAATACACAGAGCTTATTGTCTATTGTCTAATTGCTGACTTAGGCATCGGAGGGGTTTCCGACACACACCTGCCGATTAGCTCACGTTTGTGTTTTCAGGTGGCAAAGCAACGTTGTTTGGAGGAGTGCAAACTTGATCAACAGGATTATACAAGGAAATTATTCCGTACTCGTACATTAACTATTTTTTGAACACTATAATGGCCACCCAATGTCATTATAAAAAATGGATGAAGTTGTTGTAGATTTGTAATTTTGTTAAGAAAAAGGTTTATAATAATCTTAAAGGTTGTTGGTGTTAGACAATATGTAAAATATATATATATATATATATAATAGTGTTTTAAAATATGTTAACCATGTATTGAGATTATAAATATTTTAATATTATATGCGTCGTATTAATCACACCTTAAGACTGTTATTAAAGTAAGGGAGATTCTATTTATAAATCCTCTTAGAACAGACCATTTAACCATTAAATTTATATAACAATAATACCTTCAAGTAAAATAATCATTAAGGACAAATATGGGTGTATATATATTCATTCAAGTAATTCATATATAAAAATACATCTATATACACCATCACTAATACATTACATCTTTTGAAACAAATTTCTCTTCCAACATTGTTCATTTTCACCATTATAATATAACACATTACATTTATCATTTTCACCATTATAATCTAGCACACTATACTCATCATCTTCGCCAATCTTCGCCATTATTTTCCAAACTCGAAACATTATTGTTGTTGAAAATTTAGAGTTTTAAGAACATTAAAATCAATTGGTTTTGAAGATGAGAAAAGTTAGGGATCATGAAAATTTTTTCATGAAAATAATCATGAAAGATTTATGATCCTTGAATTACCTTGATTAGTGTGTGCTATTTTATTCTAAGTGTAATCCAAGGGCCACAAAACTTTCATGATTATTTTCATGAAATTTTTTTCATGATACCTAACATTGTTGTTTGAAGATTTGCACACCATAAATGACACTCAGATTATTGATTTGAAACAATATAAAAATGAAAAGGTTTGTTTTATCCCATTCGTATAGAAAATGGCTTGTTTGCTCGCTATGTATTTAGACAACCAGAGTTAAACATTTATAAAATTTTTAATTATTTATATTTGAATAAAATTATTTTGTTCAAATTATTAAGATTGATCAAATATTAAATGTTCATATATAAAAAATTGAACATTTTGATAGTGGTGTGTACCAATTTATTAACTTAAGGTTAAAAAAAGAAAGTAATGGTGTAAACAAAAATATTTTCACAATCTAAAAATTATTACATATATATATATATATATATTAAGTAATAGTGTGTAATGAGAAAACTGATAATGTGTAAATAGAATTACCCTTGAAGTAACCCTTCTGCTAATTGAGAGAAATTATGACCACAATCTTGCCCAGCAGACTAACCCAAATTTGGTAACAACACCTTTGCACGTAACTGCAATTCTTACAATAAAAAGTTGCAAAACTTTTTCTATTACCAGACCTTATTGTATACACATTCTGGGTTAAAATACAAACAAAACATTTTCAGACTCAATCACATATAAGTACATTGAGTGCCACTACCCTGCTCCGTTTTACACCATGCTTATTCTGTGCCTCCAATTCCGGCAGCTGCTGCATTACTTTCCTCTAAATCAATGTTCTTCTTCTCTTCTCGGCGCCTCTTACAATCGTAAAAATACACAACAAAAACCAACCACTTGGTAACATTACCCACACAAACCAACCCAACAAGCGGCGCTGTGATTGCCATTTTATTGAAATTTTCTCCCACAATCGTCCACCCCAAATACAGGCTCGACAGCCTTAAACCGAGCCTCCACACCAAGAAAACAAGGACAAACAAAAACCCACGTCGCCTGCTACCTCTGCTAAGATATGAAGAAATCAGCAATGCCACATCCCCTTGTTTTTTTTCTTCCAGTATAGAAATTACAATACCCATGTTCCATATTGCACTCCACTCTATATATTTAGCTAGCAAAGCTATGAAGAGTACTCCAAATAACAGCATAAACAGAACATCACGGGATGCAATGTACATGTATGCTGCTAAGCAAAACAATCCTGATAAAATTAGAAAGCCTAATAGAAGAGTACATATAGATGTGATTAGAGGCCCTTTAAACCTTGTTTCTTTGATGAAATTTTGCAATAGTTGTATCAGATTCAAGGTCTTCTTTCCTGTATGGATTGTTGATGCAGAGTCAACGATTGCGATCAGGGTTATGAGGTCTAGGAAATGGAGGATTCCCAAGTATAACAGAACTAGGAGGTACGTAGGAGACAAATCATCAATCAGTCTTTCTGCAAAACCAAGTGTTGTCCAATTCCAATCAAGACAAAATTTGCAGTATAAATCAGATTCAGGAGGGGCTTGTGATAAGATTTTGGCTGTTTGAATGAGGGTGTGTTGAATGAGAGTTTCATAGACAAGTAGGAAGCAAAACAGGGGAATAGAGGTGAGGAGGGTGTAGATGATGAAGTGGGGATTCTTGAATGGAATTATGAGAGCTTCTTTGAGAATCTTGAAGAAGCCTAGCTTTTCTTGCACCATGATTTGGGTGTTTTCCATTTTCTTTGTGATGATCCAATTCTCTCTGTTCTTGTTCAAATAGATAAATATTTGATCTTTCTGTTCAAGATGGAGTTTCTATAGGTTGGTGGTGACATGTAAAATAATTAAATTCTGTAGAAAGACTTTGAAATTGACTTGCTTTGGTTCCCTGTTCATGAATCTACCCTAACATAAAGAGAAATGTTATGTGTTATAGAATTTTTTAATCATTATTTTGTGTTTATATAACATTTATATTATTGGTTATGTTATTTAGTGATAATTATTAAGAAAAAAAATTTATATCTTGTTATGTGTTTCATTGATATAAAATATAAAAAAATAAAAATGATATATATATTTAATTCTGGTCTTGAAATCTTGATTACTTTACCCCAACAATTTTCAATTCACCCATTACCACAATTGTAAAAGGGGATTTGGACAAATATATCCCCCCCACACACACAAAAATCAAGATTTAAATTTGTGAATATAAAATTTCTTTTTCATCCTTACTTGTTTGTTATTTAAGGACCTATTCCTTTTGCACCAATGATTTCTTGGATAAGATCCACTCTATTAAATTTATATTACTATTATATACTTAGATTTTAAATAATTTTTTAAATACATAACATTTCTATATTGACACTTCAAAAACAATGGCTTTCACTCCTCTCACCATACAAGTTAAAGAGCCAAAATACAAGAAAGATGTAACTAGCTCACTTGAATTAGAAAAGAGTAATAACGTACAAATAAAAAAATTACTTGGAATGATATAACTTTTTTAAATTGGGGAATTTTTTTTTAAATCCCTGGTATTAAAATTTTATAAGATTAAGCATATACAATATTTTTATAATAATTGGGATCTCTTAACATTTTTACAGAGAAATTTTGGTCTAACTCAAAGAAACTTCGACTCTAACACGGAGAAATTTTGAAATTTCTCTGGTATGATCACAGAAAAATTTCGTTGAGGGACCTTAGCTAATAAAAAAAATATTTTGGTTCTCTCCTGCTACACACAATTGAAGAGGGATTTTCACTAATTTTTCCTTTTAAATTCTATCATTTTAAAAATAAAAATGTATTAACATGACTTATATTTTTAAAAATATCATAATCACATAATTTTTTTAATATAAAATTTTTGTTTATAGATAATTTTCCATTAGGCTGAGTTTGTTTAGCATGAAAGTGAGGAAAAGAGAAAAAAAAAATATAACTTTTTATGAGTTTGTTTAGCATGAAAATAGTAGAAAATATAAGAAAGTTATTATTATAATTATTTTAAAAAAATGCTTGGTGGCTTGAATTCGTATGATCCAAATAGTTTGAATGTGTCAAAACGACGTCGTTTTACGCTCAAAACGACATCGTTTTGAGACCTTCGAGGCATGAAATTTTGGGCCACCTATCATTGTTGTATTATTTTTTATAATTTTTATTAGCATTGTAACTAATGTTTTGATTTCTTGCCAAAAACAAAAGAAAACAGATTTTTTTTTTTTTTTTGTATAAATAAAGAGTTATTTATAACTAAAATTTCAAATTTCTATAATTTTTTCTTATAAAATTTTCATCTTAATTAAATACTTATAAGAAAATATATTTTTTCTTTTCCAATTTTTTTTTGTTCACTTTTACTTTTCACTAATTTTTATTTCTACTCAATACGTGTTTAATTTATTCTTAATCAATACTTCTTTCACTTATTCTCCCTCCCGGGATTAAGTCTTAGGAGGAATTATAATTGTATGAAAAATATAAAGGAAAATGTCTCGTAACTCAAATTTTGTAGCTTAAAAGTTGCTCAAATAGTCAAAAAGAGCCACAAAATTTGAGTTACATAGCATTATCGAAATATAAATACTTGTCTTAGAAAAAATTATAATTGTATGAAAAATATAAATACTTGTTTAACTCTTTTTATATATATATACAATTAAAAAAAAATATTCTTAAATATTATTTTTTTCAATTCATAAAAAAAAATTAAAAAATCTTTAAAAAGTCAAACATGAAACCAAGCTACACGGTCAAGGTCGACCATGAAGTCGTGCATGGATTCATTAATAAAAAAATTTATGCAAAACGTGTTGTTGACCAAGTTCCGCAAGTTTTGTCCACGAAGTCCATTGGCTTAGGATTTCTCATTTTATAATATTGGAAATCTCTTGCACACGTATTTTTATCGCAAAAGTTATAAAGTTTTTTTAATAGAATTATTATAAATTGTGATTTACGAATAAAGTTATATTTTTTTTTATTGTGGGGATATATTTTGTGAGTGATAGCACGTGGTTAAAGTAATGTCGAAGTGTTAGCCGAGGTACCACGTAGCTTGGTCATGCACCGAGCTAATCTCAGCTAGGCCAGGGTTATCTGCGAAGATACCAGAATCCGAGATAAGCAGGGACAAGAGTCCTAAAACAGAAAAGGATATCAGTCTGGATAAAGATAAGACTCAAGAAGAGTTTATCTCTATCTAGAGGGTCCAGGATAAGCATTGGGCCTGAGTCCATTGAAGTGAGACTTCTAATGGGATTAGGTCGCTACTGGTTATAAAAGTAAGGCATCCTCGTAGGTCTGTGGTAAGTTCTTTCTTGGGAGTTTAAGCACAATTTGCTATCTTTGAAAGATATTGATTACTGACTTGATCGTTGGAGTGCCCCCAGGTGGACGAACTACCGTCGGATTCTTATCTTTTTTGTGCAGGTTACTAGGCTTAATCTATTCTACCGATACTCTTCAACTGAGTTTCCCGTTTGGTTATGTGGTCAAAAATCAACACCCACAATTTGACGCCGTCTGTGAGAACTTAAGGAAAATAGATGGCCAACGGTGAACAAGAAGAAAAGATTAAGGGTGACATTAACAGTGAAAGTTGTGAACATAAAGATCTTAATGTCCGGAAAGAAAACCGCAATGAGGAAGCACAGGATCCGAATCTTGGGGAGAAAGACATCAGCAAAGAAGGGAATGCCTTGAAGAAAGTTAGCCGAGATAAGTATTACAATAAAACGACGTCCAAATATAGAAGGTTAGATGCCTGAAGAGGGACGGCGAGAGGAAAGGGATGGTGAACAAGTTGGCAAACCTACAGTCGGTTGTTAACTTCATGATACAGAACAACATGATGCAACCACCGTTCTCGTCACAGGACACGTCAGTACTAGCGACAAAGACTGACGCCCAGAAAGGAGGGTAGAAAACAATCCTAGCATTCCCGTAGCATGACAAGGAAAGGGAGCGCTCACATCGGCCTTCATGGGATGTCGGATGAGTAGAGTCGATGAGAGATGAGTCACAGAGAACACCACGAACCAAGGGAACCTATGCCAAAGAACCTCAGCATATCTAGGGGAAGGGACTTTGCTTTGATATGCTAAATGAAGAGAAGTCCAAGAGGACGCACAATGACACTGGGAGCAATGCGCCAAAAAGGCTGAAATCTGTTAATAGCCAAGCTCTCGGCCGAACGAAGGAGGATCTGAGGGACTACCTCCAGAAGAAGCGACTACACGCCGAGGTAACATCCCCCGTTAAGCCAAGATCAGTGGAGTTCAATAAATTTGAGGCCCCAAAGAGATTCCATATGTCGAGGTTCCAGGTTTATGACGGTAAGTCTGATCCGAACTTTTATGTCGGCTTATATTTAAATTCAATGGCTTTGTATAGCGGGAATGAGCAATTACTATGCAAGATGTTCCCTTCATCCTTTGAAAAAATTACATCAGATTGGTTCCACAAGTTACCGAAAGGAACTGTGAAGAGTTGGGAAGGTCTGGCGGAGATATTTGTGGCCAGGTTTGTAATAAATAAGTTGCGGCCACTAAAGGTAAACTCACTGCTGGCTTTGAATATTAGCGAATGTGAAAGCCTCAGGACTTATGCCAAACGGTATTATGAGGTGTTCAATTGAATATCAATATGTCACCAGGAGCTGGCGGTCGTATCTTTGAAAAACGGCCTGGAGGATGAATGCCTGCTTCGAAAGTCACGTGCAAAAACTCTAGCAAAGAGTATGGAGGAGCTCATGGCACGAATTGAGAAATATGCCAGAGTAAAGAAGGATACATACAGAGCAAAAGCACCAAAGCATGAAAAGAGAAATGGCTCGCCGAAACGAGGCCGAGGTGTCACGACCCGAACCCGCCCCTATGGGTTTAGCATTGTAAACGGCCAGTAATCCGTGATTACCAAAGGCCTGTTTAACAATAATGACAGTAATATAGAGTAAGGGGTTGGCGGAAGCCAAACAGTAAGTAAAAGATGTCCAATGAGTTGTGAAAATCTGAAATGGAAAAAGACTCATATGTGCAAAGCCACATTCACAACCAAAACATATATACATACATCATATACACATAACATCCAGGTTAGGGACCAAATCCCTTCACCGTAACTGTACAATCAAGTCTTATTCAGTCAATACAAAACAGAGACAAAAGGGTGAATCTGAAACACCCCAAAACAGTCTTAACTTGAACGGACTCGGAACCTCGAAGTGAGGCACAATGGTTGGCTTGACAAAACATAAGCTTAGCTCGACGCTTCTAGCTCCGGTCCGGTGCCTGGACACCTACATATAAATATAAACAGTGAGTTAAAGCCCAGTAAATAACATATGCGTAAAGGGGTTAAGAATGAATGTCCTTTCATTAATTAAAATAGTCATTTGCATCATTAAATCAGTTATTCAATCAGTGGCTCATATTTCATGCCATATAAGTCATTTAGAAATCATAACAATCATATGTGGTACGTCTAATAACAAAACAGTATAGTAGGTCTTAATAGACCGAACAGTCAGTTGATGGCCATCAAAACAGTAAGCAGTAGTAGTTCCAAACATTAGAACTGACAGAGATCTCTGTAACAGTAGCAGTAACAGTACAGTAACAGTAAGTTGCTATGGATGCCACGAGTACAGTTTACAAATAGGACAAACATTTATTCAGCAAGTAATGTCATTCAGAAAGCAGTACAGTCAATCGTTCAGAAATAATTATAGTTGAACGTATCTTTACAATATTGTTACTCACAGAGTACTGGGCTATAGACAGGCTAGTCAGCGTCCTCGGGTGCCAACCCTACACAGTTGCGGAACGAACACACACTAAGTTACACACTTG